TGCTATTCAGATCAGTACCGCTTACTTTTATCAGTTTTTTCAAAGCAACATTGGATGAACCTGATCAGATACAGTTTCAGATGAAAATCCGATTACAGTGCCTAAATGACAACATATACAATGGCTACCGCTATGAAAAAAACAACAGGGTAGAAAGACAATGGTCCACTGTAAAGTGTTTCTTATTACAAAAAAAAACTCAACTCATCTATACTTTTATGACCCTCTCTTGTACAACAACTGTTAGTTAATGTATCTATTTGTTTTTTGATTGAGACTTACAGTTTAAATCACTAATGTTACATAAAAAAAAAATTAGATAGAAATTTTGATTTAATCTCTGCCGACGCTATAGTTGCGTAATCTGTCCAACTATTTATGGATCTTGACTGCCACACGTTTTGGCCAGCCTCATTGATTATAATTCAAAAAGGGTTCGGCACTAACAAACAAGCTTCCTTGTAGTCACATTCCAACCCGCAAACCAAGAATGATTTCCCTAATTGAGCAATAGCAGGATTATGACCAAGCATAGGCAAATGTAACATGGACAAACGTCTTTTTCTATATCAGTGCCATGCTTCTATTGCATCATATGTGATAGATAATAGAGGAGGAAAATGGGATTTCCAAATCCGGATCATTTTGATCCAGATTAAATGTTTTGAACAACTGGCCCACTGTGCTTACCATCCACCTAGTGGAGGTGCAGTGGGAAGGGATAATCAGACCATAGAAACAACCGCTTAAAATAGGTTAACTCCAACTGGGATGGATGATGAGATGTTAACATACTGTTGTGCACTTAACCATGCCTTGATGCTTATCTTCCCTTCCTGATTCTACATCTGAACAACTGCACAACATCCAGCCAGGAGACTTGGTAGTGGTCAAGGATCTGAGGAGGAAACACTGGCATCAACCCCAGTGGAGAGGACCATACCAAGTGCTGTTGACGACACCAACTGCTGTCCAGATAGCTGAGAGGGACACGTGGATCCACACATCCCAGTGCAAATCTTTTCCCAATAAAGAGATGACCTGATTTATGGGAAATGGATAAGGAAGTGGGGTGTGAACACTTGGTTGCAATTTTCATCAATGGTGTGGTGGCTGTTGCTAAATCTTGGTCATCACTTCAGCAACAAGAAAGAAAAGAACTGGCAATAAATGGGGTCCGAAAGGTCCCATATATTCACGACCATCAAAGACACAGGGCAGAAGTGGCATGTCACCCACACAGGGTCAGGAGATCTCATCATAACAACAAAACAACAGCTGATCAGAAGGAAAACTGTATGACCAGACATTTTGGAAGCCTTGGGGGTTTAATGCAAATTAATTGGTAGATAGTTCTATTAAAAAAAATAGTTGGTACTCATTTATTAAATGGATAAAAAGTAGATTGTATGGGTTTAATACCACTATTATGGCCATTCAAAGTCCTCCAGCAAACTGGCAGTCCTTATTCCAACTTGAGGTGAGACATTGTCCTTGCTTAGATCCAGTTGTTAGTCTGGTTAAGTATTTTGCCGACCATCCACACATGGACAACGACATACGAAAGTGGTGTAAAATTTCACATCATAAATGGTATAGTACAACAAGGAAAATATACAGTCACACAACAGATCAACTGAATGTCTATATATCTTGTGTAAATTGGTTCTGTGACCATATGATGCCAGAGCCTTTTCCATCAGATTCAGCTAATGCAG